GCCTCAGCGTGTCGATAGGGTAAGAGATCAGTAAAAAAATTTCGTACCTAGTCGGGTTCTGACTTCTGCTTTATTGAAACGAAAGCCAGATGCGTCATTCGCTGCTGAGCAGTAGAGGCAGTTGTACGGTTTAAACTGTTGTAAATGTTATAGTGTTTGTGGAAATTGACTGAGATGAATCTGGGGCAGCAGATTAACATCAGATTTTGCATGAAGATTAGTAAAAGTGATTGTGAAATGCTAGTTATAATATGGATTCTGTTAAAACATGCATTCATTCATTTATGCATTGATTATTGGTACCGCATCTGATCTAGCGCTTCTGCTACATACTTAGAGATTCTTGACAAAATCCAAAGAAAAACATGCAATGTCATCGGTCTAGACCTGGCATCTCGCTTTCAGTCGCTTTCTCCCTGCCGCAGCGTAGATTTCCTGTGCTTTTTTCCATGGTAATTTTGTCTGATGAACTTACCTCTTTGGTCCCTCGACTTTACGAATTTAAACGTAATACTCGATTGGAAGCTAGGTCTTATCATTTTACAGTTAAAATTGCTAAATGTAAGCTCTCTCCCTTCGAACTTCTCGCTTGTGGAACTCTCTCTCTCTCTCGGGATTTGGCTTCTCACTCAACTTTGATCTTTACAAATTTAAAAGCCATGTTAATCATTTCCTTCTTAATTCCTGTTCATTTATTGTTCTCTCTTCTTAGTAATGTTTTTCTTTTTCTCCTACTCTTACGCACTCAGATTTAACCCTCTGTGATTTTTACCTATTCCCAAAACTGAAAAATGTCCTGAAAACATAAAGATTTTATGAAATCCTTGATATGCAGCAACACGTGACTATATCGCTGAAAGTTATTCTGGAAAATGAGTTCCAAGAATGTTTCCAGCAATGGCAGTATTATCTCAGCAAGTGCATATGAGAACTTTGAAGATGACAGAAGACAATAGTGAGCTGGTAAGCAAAGTTTGCTTTCACAGGAGCAGTCCTGGAATTACTGTCAGTGCAAAAGATTTGAATAAATAGACATGATTAGTTAGGGACGGTTATCCGTTTCACCATTGCTTAAATGAGATTTAACCATGACTGTCTCTCACCGGCGGGTCGTGGTAAGCCTCTCGTTGCTCTATCGTTGCTTTCACGAAAAGTGCTCGCACGAACTATATTCCTTGATTCGGCCAGTCCTGACCTTTACGTCAAGAACCGCCATGCCACTTGCATTATAGAAAATAACCTACTCTCCGTATAAACTACCCCTTAAGTAACCCTCTACCTCGTACAGACCTTGTACAGGATGAACCTTACTGTAAAAAAAAATAATTAAGTTTATGAAAACAGATCAGACGTTGTCTAAGAAATAAAAGTAAAGTTCTGTGAGATTTCGATGTACAAACGGATCACCTAGTCCAGGTTAAGAAGAGTCGTATATAGAAAATCTAACGAATAGTGAATATATCTGGCTCAGAGTGAAACTTCATGAGAATAAAAATATCTAAAGTTTAGTTTAGGGATATATGGATTACATAATGTTTAACTCTAGACTTGAAGAGGTTAAGATTATAGTGATCGGGGAAGTATCCTTTTGAGTGTCGGTTCCACAAGCAGCAATTCTTGAGAAGCTGCTGCTCGATTGGAAATCGAGCAGCAGCTTCTCAAGAATTTTTGCTAAAGAACTCTGTCTGTCCTGCTATTCAACCCATAGACTCTTCAAATTCTTGCGGTTGTCTCCGTGCCTCCGCGCCTCCGCGTGTTTTTGGTCTTACGTAAAATAACAATCTATTACTTTCAGAATTCCGCGTCTACGATATCTTTTGACTAGGAGATAATCGGAAGCTGCATTAATCTCACTAATGGAATGCGAAAGATCATGACTCTCCACAGATTATGTGAAATGCCCTGGTAGCATAAAATGTCAGTCAGTTACGTGCCATACGTGATACACGATTGGGCGATCATATTTCTTTCGATGCATGACAGATTAGGCAGAAGATTCTTCCCGCATTAGGTCGCCATTTTTTCTGGTAGACTTGTTGCTAAAGAACTCTATCTGTCCTGCTATTCAACCCATAGACTCTTCAAATTCTTGCGGTTGTCTCCGTACCTCCGCGTGTTTTTGGTCTTACGTAAAATAACAATCTATTACTTTCAGAATTCCGCATCTACGATATCTTTTGACTAGTTGTTTGCCAGCCCAAGCATTCTGTAACACTACTTCTAGAACGGATGCCAATCAAGAGTAGAGAGCTCAATCCAACTTGCTATTTAATCCATAATTGGATAGATTCGGGATAGGTTCATTCTTTTCCCAAGAGCGTTAATGCGAAAATGAACGTAATAGACTAGAATGGAATTTAAACTCGGTTTACCGATTCTAATGTTAGTGTTGGTAACCGTTGCGTTATTCGCATATTAACAACATATGTTACTGGTGCGAAAAATCAGTAAGTATGTCTTAATAAATATGTATATCCAGCCTATAGGTATTTCATGTCTATTGATAGTAAACAAGTACAGCAGATCCACGATACTTAGTATATTTGGCTTCGCCAGTTTTTCTATGGTTGGTATTTCCTCAATTCTTTTACGATTTCTGTTTCGAAGCTCATTGTAAGGGCGTAACATACTCTATATTCCAGTGATTAAAGATATGACCAGGGCCGGTACAAGTTTCTCGTGGCTACACGAATCTGTGATACGCCCCCACAATTTATGATACATCTCACCACTCTACTGCATCTCAATCTTCATAAGGTAGTATTCATATAAAATACAAATGTTATTGTAACATAACATAATTATGTGTAATAACGTATCATCTGCCATATAGGTGAATAATTCAAGTAGAAAAATTGAAAATAAATGCAATATATCTAAATACAAATTAGATCATTTCATCTTAAATAAAATAATGTTTTGTGGCAATTTTTAGCATCAATTTAAGATTTTTTTTCTTGTTAAAAAGTTGAATAATTTAACACATTTAACATTATGGATTAAAAAAAATAGTGAAATTTATATAGTATTTTTTCGAGACTTAGCAAATTTACTGATTTGAACAACAACAAAAAAGACCCCAGAATGACGTCAGTATTTGCAAAAAATTTTCAACCTTTGATAGTCAGTTGTGTTCAGTTTAATTTGTAACGTATATAAATGCAAATAGAAAAAAGCAAATCTTGGTAAAATAGCGAGCGTCACAAAAGACCGCTCGGGGCCGCCAGTCAAGAAGTTGATCAGTAGTAAGCATCGGCCTTGGATATGACTGTCGTCTTTATCTAAAAAAAAAAAAAAAAAAAATTCTGCAACTCACAGAAAATTCTAAGGTTTGTTTTTTCTTAGTTTCTTGCAGAAGAGAAGATTTACACAAACTCAAAAAGCAGTTTCAACTGGCCGATTTTTGTTTGTTTCTTTTTCAAAATAACGAGGTTTTATAACTTTCGTAGTCTGTTGAATGTATGGCTGTTAGCAAAAAAATGAGCCTAAAAACGGAGATGCCAAGATCAAACAAGTTCAAACAAGTTCAAAAAAAAAAAAAAAAAAGAAAAAAAATGAAAAAGAAATAGCTTCTGGCAAGACTTGAACCAAAACATTTGTCTTTCATGGAGGAGCCTTCAGCCAATTCGGCTACTAAAGAGTTTATGGCTATGAGTAGGTAGCGTTCAAATTTAGTCACATAACAGGCAGAGGGTTTTTGTTGGCAAAAATAGCAATGAAGGAAAAAAATGAGACAAATATTAATCGTTCAAATAGTTAATCTCGGAATTAAATAAAGCTATTTCGTTGTTTCTATTTGCCACAGTTTAATGAACTAACCAAAGAACGGATCAATTGAACGTTATGATAAAAACAACAAACAGATGAAAAACTTATTGTAAACTAATTACAAAATTACGCAAATATTGAATTAAAAGTTTTAGATAGTCTCTTAATAAATAATGAAATAATAAATTTACATATAATAATCATAATGAAATAATGAATTATTTTAATGTAAATTTTTCATGCACTAATGAAATAACAGTCTTTGATATAATAGTCTTAATAAAATAAGTCTTCAATGTAATAGCTTTCATGACCTAATGTAATAGTTTTAATTTAATAATGAAATAATAGTCTTTACTGTAAGTCTTAATGCAATAAAATAATTTTAATATTTCATAACATTAATTATATTTAATAGTATTAATGTCATAAAGAAATAGTTGTCTTAAATTTAAGTTTTAATGTAATAAAGAGATAAGACTTAAAAGTATATAGTCAGAATGTAATAAAGAAATACGTCTTAAATTCAATAGTTTTAATGTAATAAAGAGATGTCTTAAATGCAATAGTCAGAATGTAATAAATAGGTCTTAAATTTAATAGTTTTAATGAAATGAAGTGATAATTCTTTAATGTAATAACTAGAACGTAAAGAAATGCCTTAAATTTAATAGTTTTAATGAAATAAAGGAATAAAACTTAAATGCAATTGTCAGAATGTAATAAAGAAATCAGTCATAAATTTAAGTTTTAATGTAATAAATAGGTTAAGTCTTAAATGTAATAGAATGCAATAAATAAGTCTTAAATTTAGTAGTTTTAATGTAACAAAGAGATGTCTTAAATGTAATAGTCAGAATGTAATAAAGAAATAAGTCTTAAATTTAAGTTTTAATTTAATAAAGAAATAGTAGTCTTAAATATCATAATCTTAATGTAATGAGGAAATAACGTTAAACTATCATTTTATTCAGCTTTGAATTTTAACCTACGACTTGAAAAAAAACAATGTTTCAAAAAAGCGTATTTTTGTAATATGAGGCACGATTAAAAAAAAAACATAATTTCGTGTTTTTGTTCATTTTTCTCTTTAAATATTTTTTATACACTGACTCGTCTACACTTCGTTCAGGCTTAGCGGCTTGTTATAGTGTCGGATGCTTGGCTGACTGGCGATCACGGTCGACTGCACGAACAACCATGGTCACACTCGAACAATTCCGGTTAAAAAGGGCGCCATTCTACGGAACGCTGGAGTGTCGGTGATAAGCCATAAACACGCCAACCTTTTCTTTTGTTCTTTTTTTTTCCTCCCCGTTTTGCTTGGTCTCCCTCTTCGCTCTCCTTTTCTTTTCACTTTTTCTTCTAATCTCTCCTCTTTGTTCTTTTCTTTTCACTTTTTCTTCTCATCTCCCCTCTTTCTCTTCGTCCACGACTAACTTCATCAAACACTTACTGCAACATTGAAACAAGGCTCCAAGCTGGGTTTTGTGGAGAATCACTTAACGCCTGGGTGAATAGTGGGACACACCCAGTCGCCCAGCACCTTCACTTACCTGGATATGCCTTTTGCTCTCAAGTAAATCATCAATGTAAATTGCTTTGCTTAAATATGCCCACTCAGTCTTTCTTCCTTCGGATTCTATTTTCTTACGCTATTTACTTTTCAACAGACACGTTTATTACTTTAGTTTTCTTCCCCCCCCCCACCACGTCTTCTGTTCTAAGTTTCGGCTTTCTGTTTTTCATTTTTTATCTTATTTCAAATCAACATGATTGATTTTTCTTTCTTTCTTTCCCATTTTCCCGCTTTACATTTATTTTACAATTCTTCTTCATCTGACTCTTTTTTTCTTTCGCTTTTCTTTTCTTTTCTTTCTTTCTTTCTTTCTTTCTTTCTTTCTTTCTTTCTTTCTTTCTTTCTTTCTTTCTTTCGCTCTTTCTTTCTTTTCTTTCAACTGATTTTCTTTCTTTCCTTCCTTCCTTAGATCTCCTTCCTTCCTTCCTTCCTTCCTTCCTTCCTTCCTTCCTTCCTTTCAGTTTATTTCACTTCTACGTTTCTTTTCTTTTCCTTTCTCTCACATTTTCATGCAGTCTCCCGCTACTTCTTTCTTTCTTTCTTTCTTTCTTTCTTTCTTTCTTTCTTTCTTTCTTTTTCTTTCTTTCTTTCGCTTTTCTTTCTTTCTTTCTTTCTTTCTTTCTTTCTTTCTTTCTTTCTTTCTTTCTTTCCGACCTTCGTATCTTTCATTTCGCATTTATGCTGTAGCTTATTCAGTCCTTTCCATATTTTCCTCCATTCTATTCTTTCTTTCTTTCTTTCTTTCTTTCTTTCTTTCTTTCTTTCTTTCTTTCTTTCTTTTCCTCTCGTTCTACCTCTATTTCGATCGTTGCTTCTTTTTCACCTTTAGCTAATCTTTTTACTCATTTTTCAATAAAAACTCGCTCAATCCGTCTGCATATATCTTTTTCCTCTTATCTCTTTTTTTTTCTCGGAATCCTCTACCTTTTTTAATTCTTGATTTTATTACGGTGATTCTTTCGAACTAGTTTCGCCGATAGCTTTGTTTTATTTATTGCAAAGATTCCTTATTTTCTTTCCCAGACGCACATATATCCACACATATAAACACAGCAGCATCTTTCCTTGCCGTTTCTATCTATTACCATAACCTTTTACCATCCCGTCTTACCTCCCCTCAACGATTTTTGCCACTAGATCAGAAGCAGGCAGGTCGCTTACACATTCTCAGCCAGACAATTCCCACCCTTCTCGTTTGGAATGCGAAACGTAGTTAACAGCCACCTCAACGTTACCACCAGTGCGTCGGCTCAAAAGACAGAGTCTGGGGTGAGGTCGCAAAGCAAATGCTTGTTCATCATGCCGATCGTTGTCTAGTGATCTGGAAACGAAGGAGGCGTCTCTCTTCCGATGAATAAACTATATCCGGCCCCTCATCACATCAAACTAAGGGCTCTGTGATCAGGGGACCCGCCCATCGTTTTGGCCCGTGCCTCAAGAGCTGAAATCCTTAACTTTTTTTTTTATCCCTGAAAGGAAACATCAACGCCACCATACTCTTTGGCTTTGCCATATATGGCTACAGTTACGCGCATGCGTACACAGATAAACGGATATAATCATTTATTTATATGCACAAAGATGGAAAAAATGGACAAGGAATTTGATGGAACCAGCGTTTAAACATCAATACTTGGAAGCCGGTCATTGGAGAAAAACAAACAAAAAAAAACGTCTCGGTTCAGACGTTTGTTAGATATTCTTAGGTGCCTAATAAAAGGGGGACTTAATAATCGGGGAGGGTGGGATTTTTCTTAATATACATCAAACGGGGACCTTAATAAATGTGGAATTGGAAAATTATTTAAAAGGTCAAACAATACGAAATTAATAAACGCGGTGCTTTTCCGTTCCCCACCCCGAGGTGGGTGACGAAATTTTTTCCCCTAAAATAATAAATAAATAAACTTCACCCCCAACCTGTGTATCGGTTTTCTAAGATTATTTAAGATCCTTGGGGTCAGCTTGACGGCTGAGACAACCAGGTAGATACTGCCAGCGACAATTGTCAATGTTCGAATCCAGATAAAGGCAACGATTTCAAATCATCATTTTCAAGGCAAGTATTCCGCCCTTACTATTTTGAACCTGTGCTGTATTATGCTAAAATTGGTTGTTAACTCTTTTACGTTGAAGTATATATTTATAACCAAAACACTTCCTTATATGGATTTCTAGGATTAGTGCATTTGCTATTTTACTGTTTTACCTGCTATAATTTCTGAACAGATTCGTATCTGTCGACAGACAGAAAAAAATCCCATATAATATTTAGGTAAGCCATTCCGCCAGATGTGCATTGTTTATGCGATTATTTAATTCCTCTATTCTTGGACAAAGATTAGAAAAAATATGAGTTTATCTTTCGAAAGGAAATACTGTATTCGCAGGCAAAATAAAAAAAATACGTTGATGCAAAAATTCTCAGCATCAACTCAGCACAATGTTAGGGAAATCTTAGAATTATTTTTTTTTAGTTTTCCATGGCAAATTCTTATTTATGCAATGAGTCTTCGATAATAGGAAGCTGGAATAGGAAGTTTTTCTACATGTGGCGCAAAGTCCAGACCTAGCACCAACAGGCAATCAATAGTATTGCGCCTTACAAAAGGCTTTGCTTTGTCACCGGCCATAACAATCTCAAGAGTGAAAATGTCGAATTCATCGGATGAAAGCAGGAATAACTCTTTTATAAAGGAGCACAGCATTTATTTGAGAAATGGCAAAATATGACAGAATAGCATAAAAAATATTTTGATAACTGAATAATAATGCTATAAATTCATTTGAGGTAAATATTTTATTAAATGCAGGAAAATTATCGCGGATTTATATATATAACTAATAACGGATACATCAAAATACAGAGATAATGAACACGCAGACACCCTTTGTCTAGTGGAAGTGGATTTATCTGTAACCTTGGAAACGTGAATTATGATTTTAGCTGTGTCTTTAAAACCCAGTAATTTTAAAAGTTACTCCAAAATTCGCTTGAGGATGAAATGGAACTAACGTCTTTAATTTAATTTAATTACAAAATTAAATTCGGATCTTTTAGCTTCCATTTTTGAAACATGGTTAGAACTGTGTAGCGAAAAAAACATATTTTAAATCAATTAATTTATAATATATATATATATATATATATATATATATATATATATATATATATATATATATATATACGTATGAAGGCTATTTTTAGGCGTGGCATTGCAGTCAGCATGTAGTGTTGATCTCAATGTTCCCACTCTTTGTATCTATAAACGCTCTCTCCTCGATATTAAACACTCATAAATCAGTGGTTTATTGGATAAAGACTCATAATGCAAAATCGGACAACCGAGTTCCAATTCCAGTCGTTACATTCACTGACACGAAAATAGGTATGAATCTATCTTTTCTTCCTCCAGGTATGGGTTAAATAATAGGAGTTTTATCTGGAAAGTAAATACTTATCTTACAAAAATTGATAATATAATATAAAAAATATTTATTCATATATTTCAGAACATGCTACGTCTTTAAATAACCCACAAAATGTTGATGTGCCATAAAAATAAATAAATCCTACAGAAATGTAGCAAATCTTAGAAGGAACTGGATTGGGTTTCGGTCTTTCTAAGTCTTCTCATTCCCTTTCACTCTTGTGTCTTAGTGGCATTATCGCCTTGCTTGGTATGAATTGATTAAAACTAAAACACACACACACACACACATATATATATATAGATGATTGTCATTACATGAAACACTGAGTATTTAGGCTCTGTCGACTTTGGCATTGTGCCTTCAGGTTATTTTCTATATTAAGCTTTTAGCTTATTTTAAGCTTTAGCTTTTATTCTTCTATCTATCTATCTATCTATCTATCTATCTATCTATATATATATATATATATATATATATATATATAATACAACAAATATATATATATATATATATATATATATATATGTCTGTATGCCTTATCCATAATATATATATATATATATATAACGAAACATGTCTTAATGGTAACATGCTGTCGAAATACACACATATATACATATGTGTGTGTGTCTGTGTGTTTGTGTGTGATACAACCATATAAATATATATATGTGATATAATGGAATATGCGTACACCTGTGTTCCCCCTCACTGGAATATGATTGGCTGGTGTCCGTCATAAATACCGACGCCCATATTCTACTTGATTATAGTAGCCAAAACCACTTAGCTACTTCGTTCAAATATATCTCTTTCCGGGACATATCAATTTGTCTGTATGCTTTATACATAATATTGGCATTGAGCCCTCAGTTTATTTTCTATATTAAGCTTTTAGCGTATTTTAAGCTCTAGTTTTTATTCTTACTACACACACACACACACACACACACACACACATATATATATATATATATATTATTTATGGGTAAAAGTGCTCAGTGTCAGGGATAGAACGTGTGTAAGTATAAAAGTGGATACTGAATGGCGATTGTCTGTTTCATGCTTGAATGCAATCTGCAGGCCTGAAGATTGCGTCCAAGTATGAAATTAGTTCACTTTTATTTTTTATTCATGCATACATACGCACATATGCATACACACACACACACACACACACACACACACACACACACACACACACACACATATATATATATATATATATATATATATATATATATAAATATATATATGTGGCATGCGCTTCTCGTGTGTGTGTGTGGCTGTGTGTGAGAGAGAAAAAGAGAATAAAACAAAGAGAGGCTATTCACAAAACTATAAATCGGTCTGATTAAGAGGGAAAGAATCGAGAATATACATAGGAAATCACTGACGTGAATAAATGGATAGATAAAAAAAACTGTAGGTAAAAATGAAAGGCAGATTAATAAATTTACAAAAAACAAATAGAGTAAATTCCCTGAGATACGCAATTAGAGTGTAAGAAGCAAAAACAAAGCGAGATCGACAAATACAGAGTGCGATGGATAAATTTTCGCCATTTTATCATTTTTGATTCCGCGCATGCGTGTTGTTTGTTTTGATTTTGTCGATTGCCCATTATAGTAGGTCAGTTGGTCACTGTATGCAAGAAAAGGAACACCATCACTCCGCCAGAAATTTGGAAACAGCATGCTGTACTGCTTGACATTCGAAAATCTAATACGAACGTTTCACTATTTTTGGGGGTCAATCTGAGGACAGTGAAGAAGATTCAGAAAGAGTTGGGTGAGTCTAATGGTGATTACGAAGGAAAGAACTCCAGAATTTGTTGGTGAGGTAGTGCTACCCTGGGTTAAGAGTGTGGCGGCTGGAAGACCCTTTGTCTGGCAACAGAACTCTGTACGATGCCACACAAGCAGAAGAACCCAGTCATGACTGTCAGACAAATTCTGCGACCGCATCACACCTTAAATCTAGCCACCTAACTTTCAAGTCTCCTTTTGATTATTATATGTCAGGCACAACTGAGTGAGAGATCAACAAAACTCCATCTAACACCAAAGATGAACTGAATGCATAGGCTATGACAGCATTCACCAACTTAAACAAGGGGACCGTCCAGAAGTGTTCCGGGAGATTCTGAAGTCGTCTCAAAGCAAATGGCGATTTTATTGAATAAATTTACTCTTTAGTATTTCAAGATATTTTCGTGTAAGTTTAGTAAATATATCTGTTAAAATAAGTTGTCAGTATTATTTTCACTTTTTGCGTAATTTAGACGACAATTTATCCATCGCACCCTGTATATGGGTATAGCCTCTAAATCGAATATGCTCAAGTCGATTTGTTGCGGTCGAGTATAATAGGCAAAATGATAAAAGAACGAAGAATTGGTAATGGAACTATATGGAAAGACATTGAAAAATAAGTATAATTGCACATGATTTTATTTACTAGTTAGTTCATTGATATATGTGCTGTTCAAAATGTCCTCCTCCTTTTTAAAAAAAAAACATTTCATTTCTGTGACTGCATGACTCATTAACACGTCGGAGAGTTTCCTCTGTTTTTATTTATTTATTTATTTTTTTACTGCATTCACATTTAATTTTTTCTTTAAGTTCCTCAATATTTCTTGGACGCGTCTGATAAACAAGTGATTTCTAATGAACAGGCTGAGGTAGAATGATTTTATTGCCTGCTACTGATATATCCGAATGGACTGCAATAGATTATGATGGTAATATTATCCGTTTCCTTGTAAGGAAACATTCGA